TTATAAAAAATTTTCTTCCATTTTTTCAGATAATGTTATTTACAATTTCACCTAAAGTTCCTGAAAATTTCAACGAAAATTATTCATACCTTTCCTCAATATTAAACATTTTATCGGAGGAAATTTGGCAACTCTCGAATGTTCATACGGCGTTCTTCCTTAGCACGGCAGTATACTATTATGCCCTGAATTCATAAATGATAAAAAAAAAATCGAAATCTCAATTTAAAGCCCCTCTTTACACACCAGCCGGAACACCCCCATACCCCCTGTTTGGGGGTGTTTCGGCTCCTGCGGTCTGATAGTTAAACCTTGGATCACCCTGTATCATAAAATAAGATAAGATTTCATAACCGATCTTCCCAACGGTCCGTATTCTACTGTGCGTCGGCCATTTCCCGGCCAAAAAACTCACCACTGGAGCCCGCGGAAAATTCCGCCCGGTGTTTACCCTCGAATTACCGCGCCTCCCCGCGAGTGGTCCGCGTCCCCTCCGGCCGCTTAATTTTCGAGAGCGGAAAACGCTCCGGGGGGAGAGAAAAACACCCCCGGCCTCAAAGGGCCCAGGCCCAGAGGGGGCAGGCTAAAAGGACGAGCGATGAATATAAAAGCTATTTAAAAAACCCGGTCCTCCCCGGCTAAGTATAGACGCAAGAGCATTATGACAGGCTTAAGCAGTTTATAAAAAGTTGCAGGTACTACAATATTTATAGAGTTATCTGAGCAAGGTTGCGGGGGTCGCGCTGAGGGGTGGATGGTCCACGAGAGGGGGTGACGCTGGGCGGAGGGGGGGTGANGGGGGGGGGGGGGGGGGGGGGGGGCTTGTCGCTTGAAATCCCGGACGTTCCGCGGCGCGTATCTTGGCAATGCATTTGGTGCTCATTACTTATGCATTCCGCTGAAGCACTGGGCTCAATACCGTCAACTGATAAATAATTCACTCATTTTTGATGCCATTGTACCCCTCCCCCCCCGCGCGCTCCCCATCCCCCTTCGGTCCCCGGGCATGATCCAGGTACTCGTATCACCTCTCTTTAACGGCTGCTTCTGAATTATGACGGAGGGGCTGCCGAGTTACTTTTTAGCTTTTGTCGGCTGTCAGTCCCACCACCATTACGGGCGCTCGCGCAGATTTCTTTTTAATTTCTTCTCCCGTGCTCGCCAAGAACCGCGTATCTCGACAGGGCTTTTGGTGGGGATACGCGGTTTGGTTTGGGATTCTCTTTCACCCGCTCGTTTTTCTCCGGGAAATATAATTAACGCCTTATCTCGGCCGAGAGGACGTTTCGCGTGGATCTGGTCGCTCGTCGATATTGATTTTTATTTCTGACACCGAGATCTTTCAAACTCGGGAGAATGACGCTGGGAGGCAGTAATGGAGTGAGGAAATATTGTAGCGAGAATTTATTCAACGGAGTCTTTCTAGCGGCGAGGCATTAATAATCGATTATCGATAGTTTCCCATTTAAAGCTGTGGTGGAGAATCGATTATCAAGGTGTTCGTTGCAAAAACCCTGTTTATCGATCCTTTTCCATAGGTTTAAATGAGAGTTAAATCGATGTATCGCAAAGCAAGCCGCGCCACTGAGTCTTTCGTATTCGTCATTTCCTAGACGAAGAAACGTAACTCCATTCCAAAGTTGCAAAATTGATTAAAACAATTCAATTTTTTACAGGATTGTACCTGTGTAATTTTTGTCCAAAATGTTTCTGATTCTTGCGTCAGATCAGAGGAAAAATCATTAAAATTTTCAGTTAAAATGACAAATTTTCTCGCAGTAAAAATGCAATTTTTGAAAAGAAACTTGGCTACATTAAAACGTAGTTACGTTTCTTCGTGAAAGAAAGAACATTCTGCCGTGCTAAGGAAGAACCTAGCGTATGAGCCTTCAGATGCTACCAAATTCTCTTTGATTAATTACGAATTTCTCGGGAAACCAGTGAATATTTTCCTTTCTAATTCTCAGAGTTTTATACGTAATCAGCTCTTAATTGACTCTAGACTTCGAAAAGTAATTTACATTTTATTGGAGGAAATCTGGCAACTCTCGAATATACATACGGCGTGTATCCTTTACTTAGCAGCATTTCTAACCTAGTCTGATGAAAACAAATTCGCGCGTCCGCGCAAAGTGAAGGTTCGTGCTGCAAAATCGATTCCAGCAGAAATGGAATGCATTTTGCAATGAGGAGCTGCAATGTCTGGCTCATCCGTAAAAACTCTTGAGTGCACGGGGAAACTGATAGTACATACGTTTTTCCTAAACTGAGTCAGAAACAGCAGTGCCTAATTGAAAATTTGGTCTGAATCGTAATTCCTCAGGTGGAATATTTTTAGCGAGAAGGAACAACCATTCGTGGCTCATTTCAGAAACAGCATGTGCTATTATTCGTTTCCCTATGCAGATAAGTACTTTCATGAATGAGCCTGAGATGGTGGCTCCCAATTGCTAAATGTCCAGAAGAGGAAACAAAACTCTATCTCGAAGTTCCGATATCGACTCGAAGAATTCACTCTTTACATTAATGTGACAGCACACAGAGACAATATCGACGTTGCCTCGATACAGACAGGTGTGCTTTTATACACCTGTCTGTGCTTAAGGGAACTACGAGCATTCCAATGTCGCTAAGATTGTTCAACTTTTTTTTACCTTGCGAACATAAACTGATCACCCAAATAAGTTTTATCTTTACTTCTAATTGGACCGAATTCCTCAGAAAGGAACCAACCCACATTAAGTTGATACTGAGAAAAAGAGGATTGAAGTTTTATTCATGCATAAGGCTCAATGTAAAAAATAAACTTTAACCCCTCTTTTCACAAACTAATTTCTGTTTTTCGCCTCTCAGTTTTTGACAGCAGGAGAAAATATAAGGGTAGTGGGACTCAAGAACATTCTTATCCCAATTTTTTCGAAAATGTGGGTCGGTTCCTTTCTGTTAAACTGGGTCCAATTATAACTATAAAATTCAACCGAAAATTACCGGTGTAAATTTAATTGTTTGCATGATTTCACTGATTTCATTGCAAGGAATGTATGTTGCAAAATCCTGTAGCAACATTAGAATGCACTTGGTACCTTTTTGCAAAATGTAATCCAGATTGTAGTTCCTTGTTGCAATATAAAAAAAGAAAAAAAAATAAAAAAAAAATCGCTGAGCCGACAACATCCCTCGAGCATCCAGTGCCGGGGCCTCATGCATGGAGACAATTATGTATCGTTGATTGTTGAAAAGTTGCCAGTGGAAGTCGGAAAAAAGACGTCGTACATCATTTGAGTTCGCCCCGAGTTATTTTGTACTCCGCGGAGCTTCTTAATCCCGTTTTGGCTTACAGGTTTCTCTCATTACAGTATCATGCTTGGTTGGATGATTTTCTCGTCCCGCCCCCTCCACCTCTCCACCCCCTTGACCCCCTCCTCCCGACCCCCTCGAAATCTTTTCTTCCGTGGAGGCTGAGGGAACTTCCCTCTTCCTTATATCCGTTCGTTTCCGTCTTTCAGTCAGTAGAAGAACGTCGTAAGTGCAATTAGACTCCAGGACCATTTGCGCTCTTTTTAAAGCTAGTCGTTCATCTTCGGATGCTTACGAGTGCTTTTCATCGCTTGGCTGAGAAAGGGGCGTAACTTCAGACTCAGATGAGCCCGGGAAAGCATCGGGTTAAATGGACGACAGGGCTCATCGTAAAAATGCAGTTACGCCTTTATATCAGGAGGGCGACGTTTTATACGTCGACGGTTGAGAGTAGTGCTGAAAAGCGCTCCGCTAGTATTTTCGTTGCCTCATAAGCCCTCGAATTTATTTTTGACGTGTGGTTCGTGATGCTCAATAAAAGGCGGGTTTCAATTTTTTGGGCTTCTAACCTTAACTCTAAATCGTCGAGTCTAATCTTAAACAAGCAGGAAGCTCCAACTGGTGTTGCTCCAACGCATTCGCGTCGGAAAGCGGCTCTGGCGACGGTAGGTAGTTGTTACGCGTTTACGGTTTCCTTGGTAACCTTTGTTTGCTATCAGCTGATGTCGAGTAGTATGACTAGGAAGCTCCAACCACGGCATTCTTCGAAAAAAGCGCGAAAACTTATAGATTTGAATTTTCAAATTTTAAACGTAAAGTACATTTTTTCCAGTGCGAGATTAAAGCACAGACCCGTTTTGAATTATTGACAGTATCACCATGATTCCAAAAATACACTACACAACATAGCATTCGCTCACAGGAAAAAGATATCAATTAAAATAAAATCAGTCCCCCCTAAACAGCAGAAAATGGCGCCGATTCCCATCAACCAACACGCGGTCTCTCCAATGTAACATGGTCCGTTGATACTCCCCAGCTGGGACCGTCCGGAATAGCAGCTCTAGTGCAAGCACCAGAGCCGCTAATAAGCCAAGTCAATCGTCAAGCAAACGAGTGAGGAAAAAAGCATTTGTGTAATACACATATTAAAAAAAGAAAAAAGAAAATAAAGTTTCAAAATTATCTTAAAGTTTTTGGTTTAACAGCACCATCGTGATATTTATTTTTTTACTTTAACCAAGGTTTTGTTGGCGAATGATCACTAAACAATCAGATTTTAAAGGTACTGATATAAAAAATAGATTTTTTAGCTACCATTTACCGACAATCTCTTGCTTAAAGTAAAAAAAAAAAAAAAAAAAAAAAAAACTATCACCTTGCGTTTTATGGTTTTATGGTTTTATGGTTTTATGGTTTCATGCTTATAAAATGGCAATGTTCCCGGATTTAAAATGAGCTTGAAAAGTCAATTTTTGCGAGAAGTTTGCTTCAGAATAATTTCTATTTAAAATCAACAATGACTGGGCTTATTATAAAAAAATGTTTAATGTGTGGTCTGTTTTCAAATTAGTCTGCAGTCAGCGAATGGCTTCTGTTTTGGAGCAAAAAAATGTTTTTTAATAAAAAAAAAATTAATTCACGATTATCCATACAACCGAGCTCATCAATCAATTAAACCTTAGAAAGTAGAATAGTCATACCTGATCATCACTGTCCGTGTAGGAGCTTGTGGAGTTATTGGCATTAGACCACGGCACCTGGAACAAATGAGTATATTTTTGAAGATACAAGAGTAAGAAAAGTTTAGTTCTAAGCGTGTTCTCCGTTTAAATCCATTAAAAATATCGATTTTAGGTCGATTGTTTTACGTACATTTAAATGGAAAAAAAACGGGTTGTCAACCTCCGAGAATCGCTACTGCAGTGGTACAGCTAGACAATTTCAAAAGTGTGCTCATCGAGTATTTTCACGATGCAAGTTTCTCGTGCGAAATCTCAATCGATGAAGTAAATAAAAAGAAAATACGAGAAAATAAAACGGGTAAAATTGACGAGAAGATCCAGTGTAAGCAAAGAGAGACCAAGTTTTTTGGCAAAGAAGGGGTAGGTCCGTTATTTGCTTAGGAGAATTAAACAAGAATCAATATCAGTCAGTTCCTTTTTCTAAATTGATCTCACCGATAAGGAACGTGATAGGAAAATTACTGTATTTGATTCCTTTTTCTGAATGGATTTGTCCTTTTCAAAATTTAGAAGAGGGGATTGAAGATACTAAAAATTAAAGAAAATTTATGATTGTTGCTGCAAACTGGATTTCTGGGTCAGAAATAAACAAATAAAACTCTTGCAGTTATTCGAATTAAAATTCCTGAAATGCAAACTTTTTTATGAAAGAATAAAGTGGAATTTATACAACAAGTACACCACTTATTCTGCGAAGAACTTGGTTCCTCTCTCATAAACTCGATTCAAATGTGACGACTAGGGAGATAAGAAGAACAAAAAATTAGGACGACTTTGAAACTTAAAATACGATGGAATTTAATTTAAAATTTTTCTACGCGGAAGGTCTCCAGCGCCACCGTAAAGTTTCCTTGGCATAACCTAGGAGCATTTGTAATTTTTTTAAGAACGAAAATATAAGACGCAAATCGGTCGAGGGGGGGGGGGGTAGGTTGTCCCGCGAGGAACCTATGCGCAACAAAGTGGGTTCATCGGGGAACACGAAGAAGAAAGTTGTCACGTAGCGTCCCGTATAATTTTATGTGCGAACTTTTAGTGCAGGGTTATATTGTCGCCCCTGTGACGTAAGGACGTATCTCAATTTCCTGGTGAACCCTGTTTTACATACGAGCCCATGCTTTCTGGGGCTCATCCTAAAATCGAGGTACGCCCTTACGTCCGAGGAGCGACGATATACGCTAAACGCTCTCCCAAAGTTTTCGACTGGAAAACATTCCCTGCGGGACAGTTCCGGATCCGCGAAAAGGGAAGAAAAATGAGAGAGAGAGAGAGAAAAAAAATAAAAAAAAACAAGAGAAAAATCTCGGCTCCCGGTCGCCCACTTTCCTCTGGACGGTAAGTTTACATAAGCACGGGGAGGCGATAAGTCAAGCCGTAGAATGCCCGGATTTCGGCGGAGAAGTGGAGAGGAAAATTGAATTAGGGCGCATTATGATCGGGTTGATGTTATTCCGGTCTCCGCACGTTTTACGCAGGTAAATTTATGCATTCGGATTCTGGAGAGGTGGAAGAGTCAGGTGTGCTCTGATTTTGTCATGAGAATGTTCAGTCCCTGATAGAAAACAGGTTCGTTTTGGGAACGTGTTATTTACATCTTTGGGAAACAACTTTTTTTTTTTTTTTTTTTTTTTTTTTTTTTTTTTTTCAAAAAAAGAACATATTAATAATTACAACAGCGGGTTACAATGCTAGAAAATACAAATGACACTTAGACGTTACGGCTAGAAGCCTTCTTTCGTTGGATAAAATACAATAAAAAAACAATTTAATAAAAACTTGGTGGTTAGTTGTACCTTTCCAGTGTGAGCCCCGTTTGTCTTTTGTATCCTTTATGGATAGGTGCAACCATGTACTAAATGAATAAGATTATTTACTAATGCATTAAATTATTTAAATTTTTATCGTATTTACATCGTACAATCGTATTTGTATGAAAGTTTGAGCTTTTTCAACTAATCATAAAGATATTGGTGTTTTATATTTTATTTTTGGTGTTTGGAGAGGATTAGGTAATTGTAGCTTATTTTAGTATAATTATTCGTCCAACTCAAGACGGCTTCCAGCCGATGCGTCTTGATGTCTTCCATTTCATTTTCGTTGACGATTCATTAATTTTCCTCGTTTCATACAGAGAGCTTGTAAGATACAAACAAACACAATGACAAAATAGTAATGACAGATAGACGGATACTTGAACACCGCGACGTACCACTTAAGATGCATTTACCTCATTCCGTTAAGGCTTCTCAAATAACATGATGTATTCACCAACTAACCGTACCTTTTGAGCAAGCGGATAATACTCTTGCTTGGCCATATAATTAGGCTGTGTCTCATGTAACATCAAAAATAAGGCACGAGCATTATCATAAATAAATTACATCTCGACAAAAATGCTAGGAAACCAAACTATCTTATTGGCAGCTCCAACAAATTATATTACCAATTGACATCTTATTTGAACAGCCAGAACGATAAATTAGTGTAGTAGGCATGCAGCGCTCTATGATTCGCCTTCAAACTGTCGTGATGCAAAAATCATCCTCTGTGTCGCAATGGTCGCATCCTGCGATGGAACCTAACTATCCTGTGACTCACAAGAGGAAGAGTTCCTTCAGTTGTGACCTGAAAGTGTCAATCCTTGAAAATGCGGTTCCAGTGCAATTGGGCGATGATTGCGCACATCTGAGTTTTTATGAGCCGCAAAATCGTTTTATAATGATCCCTGCGCTCTTTCTTAAAAATAGGTCGTCAGTAGAATTGAGCTTGTTTTTAGAGCAAGGTCACGAGATTGTTGTTGTCCCCCAACAAAAGGGTAGGGAGAAGGATAGAAAGTCCACGGAAATGGGGCAATCGCAGAATTTTGCATTAGCTGATGGATTTTTTTGTTGTTGTTGCTTATTTTTCAACGTAAAATTGCCATAAAATCACCAGCGCAGCGCCCGACCTGAATCCTCACGTTTCTCAGCGCAATTTGCGCAAATCGAAGAAAAACACTGCCGTGCTATGAGAAAACGCCGTCAGAACATTCGGACTTTTCAGAATTTCTTTGGAAAAAAAATTTGTCTTGAAGAAAATGGAAAATTTTTATTTATTTTAATTGAAATTTTCAGATTCTTCAGATTAAACCGCGAATGAGGTTACAGAAACAATGTAATATTCCATGGAAGAAAATTTTTCACAAGTTTTCAATAAAATAATTCATGTTTCACCAAATAAAATTTGACATCACCCGAGAGCTCATACGACATTCTTCTTCAGAACAGTAAGACAAGGCGTTTTTGGTTGCTTAGGCGGTCAAATTTCGAAAACTCACAAACTTAAATTGCATTGCTGTACAGAACTACAAACAGGAAAACGGCATAACTACTTCGTTAATGACCTCCTCTCTTATTTGGAAAAATATATACAAGATAAGGGAATTCTCCAGACTCCTCTTCGTTTGAAGATTAATTATTGAAAATGTTTGGCAAAAAATTGGATTCTCTCACTTCGAAAAAATGAAATAGGACCCAAAATTCAACGCAACTAAGAAGATAAAGCTTTTAAGTCTACTAATAAACTATAATTTGACTGTTACTTTTTTGATGCGATCGAAGACAAATTGGATGTTTTTCTATCAAACGGATAACTATGTGCATTATGACGTGAGCCCTGTTATGCGTGTATTCTTATGGGTCTCAGGGCTCATGTCTTAATGCACATAGTTCTGTTTGATAGAAATACGTCCAATTGACGGCGTAAGTCCGCAATCGCGTATCTTGTTCAGGGTTTCCGAAAATCTTCGCTCCTATTTCATTTTTTTAAAGGAGAACTTATCGACATCATTTCTTGAACTTTTCGTGAGGCAAGTTTCGCACAGAGAGGAAGAATCACGGCAGTTTTTAAGAATTTTCGTTGTGTAGTTTTTTATTTAAAAAATGAGGTATGATGGGAAGTCTGCCACGTCGCAGACCGAGATGCGTGGATGCAGACTTGCAATTAACGTCGAAGTCTCTCTCCATATCCTTCGCAATGGGTGTTCTGAATAAAGTTCGTAGGCCTCACTTGACAACTTTTAAATTCATAATTTAGATGAGTAAAATCCTGAAATAAATATCGAGGGGAAATGGACAACGGGACATAAAGTGAATCGGACGTATTTCTATCAAATGGAACTATGTGCATTGAGACATGAGCCCTCAGACCCATAAGAATATGTGCATAACAGGGCTCGCGTCATAATGCACATAGTTCCGTTTGATAGAAATACGTCCAATTTTGAAGGGTCTTCTGCCGTCTGTATTAAACCAACGAAGTTGATTACGAGAAAATCAGACCCCTGGCGTAGCCGTTTCGATTCAAAAGTGCGGTCAATACTTTTTCAGAGCTTCCAATAAATGACCGTACTTCCCACCGTGATTAGCGCTAGGGGTGAGGGGGACCCGACTTTATTCCAGTGACATTCGTTCAGTGGCCAGGCGTGAATGATCGATTATCGATAATTTTCCATTTGAGGCTACGGTGAAGAATCTATCATCAAGGCGATCGTTGCGATTACTCTTTCTATCGATCCTTTTCAATAAGTTCAAACGGCATGAATCGATGTATCGAAAAGGGGCGAGGGTGGGCGCTCTCAAGGGCTCGCCCAATTATTTTTAAAAATAATTTCCTCCCGGACGCGAGTATATCGGGGTCAAAATTGTGACCACGCGTTTTCAGTCTCGAGACGACGACTCTTTCGGCCGGAGCTAAGGAGCACCAGGGGGGCACGCAGTCTTGGAGGGGGCCGGGGGGCTCCGGGCGGAGAGGAGGTTGAGAGGGAGAGGGGGGTGCATTAGTTAATTGAACGCTCTCTTTAAGACCACTTCTCCGGGTTGTAGATAAACACTCAAACGCAATAATGCACCCACATCTAACACGGCTCTTTATTGTATGTCCTCCAATTTACTCCGCTTTTAGAGTTCAGACCTCTCCGCGCTATGAGCCACAGTCACTCTACCCTCGCTTGCGCGAATTGTATTTTTTCGCCCCCC